CATTAAATATGATCTAAAATTGTTTCTTTTCTGTTTTAGAGAGCATTAATTTGCAATTTAGTTAATTTGACAAATGACATGTTTTACGAAAATTTGAAAAGAAAACTAGCCGAAATGCTAAATTCAGAAGACGATGTGCAGTCAATCGAGGATTTAGGACTTCTTCAAGAAGATTTGGTGTTGAAATTAAATACTCCTATTGATACTCTGACGCATTACTTATCGAAGAAACTATGTTTTGATCAAAATGAACGAGATCTTGTAATTCTAAGACACGAAGTTGGAATATTATGGCCTGACAACAGAAGGGAAGAGAGAGGGATTAATCTAGTGTTGTATGGAGATAAGCGCTATTCTGCTATGGCACGGACTGTTGGATATCCGACAGCCATCACAGTTAAAATGATTCTCGATGGTACAGTTCTTCTTTAAAGTTAACATTAATTAATATTACACTAATTTTGTTCTTTAAATAGGTGAAATACAAAAACGTGGTGTGATTCTCCCATTTACTCCAGATATTTATCGGCCCATACTAAACCGATTAAAAGCTGAAGGAATAGAATTTTTTGAAACATCGAAATGGATAACATGATGGCTAGTTTCTTTTAATATAAATAATGTTAAGTATAATATATATAAGGTAGAATAAATTGGATTAAACAATCACATTTTTTGCTCCTTTTTATCATTAATCTTTAATTTGAAAATTTGTTTTCGATGTTCTCTCATCAAGTGTTTATAAAATTAATTTACTGATTCCGATCTGCAACATATCTCTATTTGATAATGAGCGGTGTCAATGACCTCAAGAAACTGGTTTTTCATTTCCCTAACTTTCACGTAAACGTCTTCTTTCATTAGATCGTAACACATAGCGATAAGTCCCATACCGAGTAATAAATAAATAAAATTGATTATCAGTTTGGTTTGACTCTCGGCATTTAAATCATTGTGCGTCCATCCGGGAACAAGATCACCCATTCCAATTTTGCATAAAGATGTCACGCAGAAGTAGGCACTGTCTAAATAGTCCCATCCTTCCCACTCAGCGAACATTATCGAACCGCCTAGCACATATCCAAAGATCACCCAGAGGCAAGCTGTCGACGGCACTGTGATTCTCTGGCCAGGTTTTCGTTTACCGGTACACTCATGCAACCACGTGTACAATGAACGAAAAGTTTGCGCCAACACCTTTCCCATATTCAGGAAATACAGTACGTAAAGCGGAATTCCCAATACAGCATACAGAACTGTGACTGCCTTTCCCCAAGCAGTTTGAGGTACCAAAGTCCCGTAACCGATCATCGTGAATACCGAGAGGCAGAACATCATTGCTGCCGGAAAAGACCAGACGTCGGTCGGTGTTAGACCGCTACAGTTTTCCTTTTTGTAATTGGCCGTAAAATTGTCCTGGTAACGCTGGAGGATTCGGTTCGACACTGCGTGAAACGATGTTCTATCGAATACATTTATATTCCGATTACTTGCGGTATTATACCACAGCTCCTCGGCACACTGCTTTCTGATCAACTCCCGAACGCAAATCGTCGTTGGCATAATTTGACTTTGAGTCTCGATCATCATAAAGCCGAAAGCGCCTATTATTGCGTAACCGACCACGAGTCCGCCTACACCGACCTGAGTGCACATAAAGGCGATAAATTTTCGGCAATAGTCTTTTATGCGTTCCCTCAGATCCGTGTCGGTTAACGTTGAATTGGAATCGCGGCTCCTCAAGGAAGATCTCATCGGAACACGTGTCATTCTTATTTCCACACAGGATTTAAAACAGGGAACAATACTTGTGACTGGGAAGCTGCACGTTGACCAGCACTAAATGAATTTTCATGCCGCTTTTCTATTTCTGTACGAACTCACCGCTTCGCGTTACGCTTTCTCCTTCTCTTTTTCTCCTCTCAGTTCATTCTCTTCTCAGCATACCCTGTAGTTTCTACGTATGTGCGTATACAAGCACCCACGCATTTGGAGATATTTCGAATTTTCTTCAATAAAGAGATAACAGATTGCAGAGCAAAGTTAGCACTTGGATTAGCTAAACTGTAACTTTTACTCGATATGTCATGTGTGTGACTCTTATTCCATCTATTAAACTCTTCTTGTATATTTCTTGCATATTAATGCTCTTTTATTGCAAGTTCAGAGAACTGGCATCGAATAAACTTTTGAATAAGTTAAATTTATATAAAATTGAACTGTTGGTATGTATATGTGTGAAGCAATAATATTGTACTATCCTAGTCCATATTTGGGCCCCGATAGCCGAAATAAATCATATTATAATATAA